CAGGAAGACTGGGCTGGATGAAGATTTAATCAAATGTGTGTGCTTCAGCTGGAGAGTTCTGAGTTTAACTAACACCTGCCACAATGGAACAAAGTTGAGTTTTTCCTGATTTCAGTGAGTTTACAAAAAGCTCCTGATCGTTTGCATTGTGTTATGTTGAAAACTGACCTACGCAGGGCTCATCTATCTCTGTTCATTGGTATTTAATTCTCTCGCTCTTCCCTTTGGACATTATAAGTCTTTGAATGAACAAAGTCTGAAAACACACACACAAATTGCTTCTCCTTCCATTACCGCCCTTTGTGCTTTAGAGCTGATGTACGCTGCTGGGCCAAAGTGACTTTGAACCTCAAGGGGGTTTTTGGTCTCAGATGTGACATTACCAGCAAAGAGTATAGGACCTGGCAGGGTATATCAACTGATTCAGCAAGAGAAAAAATCATCTCCTCTTCCTTGAGGATTTTTCTTGAGGTTTTAAAATAAATGGGTTGTAATGTGAAAAAGGAAAGAAAAAAAGAAAAGAGGCTTCTGACATAACTGACAAAAACCAAAACAACCTCCCCCTACCTCACAGAAAAGACTCCACACTGTGACAGCTAAAGTCAGTGTTCAGTTCACGGTATCTGCATGGCAGAGCAACTGGCTTCTGTGTGCGTCCCATTCCCCCACCCCTCGACCAGGCAAACCTATAGGAGTGTCCAACAGCTCTGTTCAGGCCAGCATGCATGAATATCCCTCCCAGGCATGAAGGTCTGCAGTCAGATCTCCTTTGAACTCAGCCAGGTACCAATCCCAGGACCCATGCTATGGGGTATAGCACGCATGCTCCTGCTCTGCAGCGACCAGCAAGCTATAGGGACTCCCAAGACAAGATTGCATTCCTGATGAGAATTATGATTTCTTCTGGGCAAGCCAAACTACTCAAGCCTCACTGTGGAGAGGCACATGGCTTGGGAGAAAAGCCAACCCATGATGTGGCCTCTCCCTGCACCCAGGTGTAACTGCATGTTCCCGTGCCAAAGGCCATCATCTTTCAGTCTGCCAAGCAGCTCTTACACA